GCCCAAAGATGCTGTTTCACCTGCCCTCCCCATCTATCTCAGCTCATAGTTATACAGATGAAAATATTAAGTCTCTGAACAATGTTCTTCTATTCCTTAAGCATTCCTAAGCATTGTGACTTTGGGCAAATTGTTCTCTGTGTCTCTGAATCTCATCTAAATAACTGGGCTGGAATAATACAAACTTTTCAGAGCTAATTTAAAAAACAAAGGAGACAAGACACGAATTCTTTTCTGGTTCTTAGGAGTTTGGGTGCAACAGAAGGCCACATTTCCTATCATCTTCCAGACAGTCTCTCATAGCTATTTGCTAACTTCATTTCACACCTCACCCGAACCACATATCAGATTTTTACCATTTCTTTTCTGGAAGCTGAAATTATCTCCTACTTATCCTCTTAAAGAATCTTAGCCTCTACTTAGTCTCCTAATGGCTTTTCCCCTTTAATCCTTCTTCCTCAATACCTTGACAGTCAATACTTATGGGAGATAACCCTCTACTGGCATATAGTCAGTAAAGCGAACTAATTTATTATGTCTTTAAACCTACACTCTCCAGCATGGTATTGAAAGCTCTTAAGCTAAGTTCTCAGCCTCCTTTCCAGGGTCCATTTCCAGACCCGATGAATTCTTTCCAGTCCTCAAGATATAACTGATTGATTGACTGCCAGTACTAGGGCTTGAACTCAAAGTCTATATGCTGTCCCTTAACTTTTTTTTTAACCACTTGAACCCCAGATCCACTTCCAGCTTTTTGGTTGCTAATTGGAATTAAGAATCTCAGAGGCTTTTCAGACCCAGCTGGGTTGGAATTGCAGTCCTCAGATCTCAGCCTCTTGAGTAGTTAGGATTACAGGCAAGAGCCACCTGTGCCTGGCTCATGTGTTCAAATTTGAAATGAAAAGTGAGTTCAGAAGAGCAAAGTCAAGGCAAAGCAAGGTCAAAGGCATTATAGTGTAGACCAACACTACACTAAAGTGGAGTTTTTACTCAAACCCTCTTGACTTACTGCCTTTTGGGCTCAATTTCCCATTATATGTTTGAAAATGCATAAAAGTAAGTGGTGCTTTGCTTATCAATTTATGACCTCCTTCTCCAGAAAGAATAAAACTTGGGGTTTAACATTAGTCAGTGCTGGCTGGGCCCTGAACCTGAGCTTTCACTTAAGCAGCTGGCCCTGACATGCAGACGTCTGGGTTTGTCCATAAAAACAGCTGCTTCTTGGAAGTTGGAATGGGGAGGCAGTGAGAGGAATAATGTGTACTTCTCTAGGCAGTGTTCTTGTCTGTTACAGCTGCCTTAATGGGCTGGAGGAGGGTGTGGGAGAGAATACACTATGTTCATGTCCAGCTACAGGAATTCAAGTAACCCACACTAAAGAGAAGAGAAGGCTGTGTGTGTGTGTATGGAGGGGGGGGGGGGAAGAAACTGAATCTACAATCGTTCCAGGGGTCCTTTTGCTTTACCCAGATAAAAAACGTGAGTAGGCAAGAAACTCATCTAATACTGAAAGTTCTGGGCCCTTGCATACTTGAGGTTTAAGGGTTGGACTGGCAGACACAGAGGCTCACAGTTACTAGCCCTGAGAGCTGAGGGTCTATGGACCTGAGCTCTATGTGCTCAGTTTTACTGCTGTAATAGCTCTTAGGTGCAGAAACTAATGCTTCACTCCCCACCTGGCTAGTGTTTTAACTATTGGGCCTACTGATGTCTAAGACATTAAAAGTTGGCAGCTTTCTGGAACTCTTTCAAAGCCAGGGTCTGAAGTTTTTCTCCTCTGGCTTCTCATAGACTTTTCTTCAACTCTATCTGCTCACACTTTGCTCTCTACTCCTGCCATCTTTCATTGAATCTGTTACTTATGCCTTGTCATTTCTATCCTATTCTCTGAAACTCTTCAGCTGCCTCTTGCCAATACAGCTACTGTTGGCTCTTGCCCCCTTTTTCTGCTCTGTTGCAGCTTCTACCTTCTTGACTCTGTTACCAGCTCACTCTACTAATGATAAAGATAAAAAGTAGAGCAGAATAGAGTATTTGGGCCATGGATAGCAGCACATGTGTATAATTCCAGCTACTGGGGAAGTTCAGGCAGGATTGGAAATTCAGTCAGAACAAAGCCAGCAAGACACTCTCTTAAAGGAAGAGGATGTGTTTGCTTAAGGGTAGAATTGGATATGGTCTAGAGGTAGAGCACTTGTTTAGCATGCTCAAGACCCTGGCTTCAATCTCTATCACAAAACAAGAAGAACAAAAGACCATTTGAGACAAGACCCATATTACACCTATTGTTGCAACACCAGCAAGTAATAAAACAGGATGATTCCTGGCTGACTTGAAAAGAACAGCTTATATAGTCATAAAGCTGTGTGTAGTATTTGCAAACAGGTATGTGTACGATAAGAGTGATTACACAAATCACAGTAGACCTTTATGCAAATGAAGGACTATGTTTACACCAATCAGATGCATTCTGATGTGCCCCTAGGGACACTGTGCCACTGTCCCTCTAGCTTGGGTGAAAATGGCTGCAGAATCTGGAGTTAAAAGAGCCTTGTTGATTTGGGCACAAGTGGCTCCTACTTGTAAAACTAGCTACTCTGGAAACTGAGCTCCAAGGGTTGTTGTGCAAAACCAGGCCAGGAAGGAAAGTCCAATTAACCAGCAAACAAACAAACAAACAGATGGGAAGTTCAAGTGGTAGTTTCTTTTTCACTCAAGCCAAACTTGAGTGGAATAAATACAGAGCTCAGGCCCTGAGTTTAAGTCCCCAGTACTGACACATACACACAAAGGAAAAGAAAGAAAGAAAGAACGAAAGAAAGAACAAGAAAGAGAGAAAGAGAGAGAGAAAGAGAGAGAAAAAAGAAAAAGAAAGCTCCTTTTCTGGTATCATTCCAGTCTCTCCACTCCCCTGCACTGTCATATCTCATGTAGGAAAATTTTCCTCTGCTCCCTCTTACCAGGGTGTATGAAAGGCATTTAGGGCTCACCCAGATAATCCAGAATAATCCTCCTTGAATAATCCTCCTTAACCATAGCCATAAAAATCTGCTATAGAAAATACCGGTTCCAAGGATTAAAACCTGATATCTGTGAGGACTATTGTTTACCACAGAGAAGAAAAGGTTAGAATTTGGGATTAAGAACATACTTGGGGGCTGGGAAGGTGGCTCAGTGGTAGACCGCTTGCCTTGCATGCATGAGGCCCTGGGTTCGATTCCTCAGCACCACATAAGCAAAGAGAAAAAAGCCAGAAGTGGTGCTGAGGCTCAAGTGGTAGAGCGCCAGCCTTGAGCTGAAGAGCTGAGGGACAGTGCCCAGGCTCAGAGTTCAGGCCCCACAACTGGACAAAAACAAAAACAAAACAAAACAAAAACATACTTGGGCAGGGTGCAGGTGGCTCACACCTGTAATCCTAGCTACTCAGGAGGCTGAGATCTGAGGCTCTTGGTTCAAAGCTAGACCAGGCAGGAAGGTCTATGAGACTCTTTTTTTTGGGGGGAGGGGGTCGGGTCATGGGGCCTGAACTCTGGGCTTGGGCGCTGTCCCTCAGCTCTTCAGCTCAAGTCTAGTGCTCTACCACTTGAGCCACAGCGCCACTTCCAGCTTTTTTCTTTTTGCTTATGTGGTGCTGAGGACTCTATCACTGAGCCACCTTCCTAGCCCCAGTGAGACTCTTATCTCAATAAACCACCAGAAAATGAGAAGTGGTGCTATGGAGATTATTTTAGTGATGATTAAATAGACATCTATCTAAACATTCCTAGCACAATATCAAGAGAGTTTTTTTTGCCTTTTTTTTCTTGCCTGTCATATTATATTCTTTGCTTCCCTGTTTTTTTCTACTATCTTTCACTTCCTTTTATAACTGTATTTCTTCTCTCTCCTCTATTTCTTCTCTATCCTCTTCTTCTCTTGTAGATCAAATCTGCTTATATCACCTGCTCTTATTGATTTTTCCTCACCCAGGTCATGACCCAGTGACTAGAGAGACTTGGCGTTGAGAAAAGCTGAGAGTTTGCAGGGACCTACCAAACCAGACTCTGGTGTTGGACCATCAGCAGTAAGAATCAAATTGAAGCCGGGCATTGGTGGCTCACGCCTGTAATCCTAGCTACTCAGGAGGCTGAGATCTGAGGATAGCGGTTCAAAGCCAGCCCGGGCAGGAGAGACCGTGAGACTCCTATCTCCAATAAACCACCAGAAAACTGGAAGTGGCGCTGTGGCTCAAGTGGTAGAGCACTCGCCTTGAGCTGAAGAGCTGAGGGACAGTGCCCAGGCCCAGAGTTCAAGCCCCACGACCGACAAAAAAAAAAAATCAAATTGAAGCAGGGAGCTAGTGGCTTGCACCCATAATCCTACCTATTCAGGAGGCTAAGATCTGAGGATCAAGATTTGAAAAAGTCCATGAGACTCTTATCTCCAATTAACCACATACACACACACACACACACACACACACACACACACACACACACACACACATCAGAAGTGGAGCTGTAGCTTGAGTAAATGAGTTCAGGACAGTAAAAGTTGGAAGGCACCAGGGCAAAGGATGACACAATAATTTGAGGCAGTGCTTTTCAAAGTTTAGTTTGCATACAAGTCACTGTAATGGGGTGATTTTTGTTAAAGAGCAGATTCTGACTCAGTAGTGGTGGTGTATTTCCTGGATTTGGAGCCAATACCTAGGAAGTGCCAGTTGCTTAGAGAGGGGAGGGGACTGATAGTTCAGGTTCCCAAAAGGAAATCCTCTTTCTTTACTCCATCAATACTACCCAAACAAGCAGTGTGGGCCTCCTAATCCAAATGAGGAGGAGTAGAGAGGAGTGAAGGATAGAGAGAAGAGAGGGGGAAGTGTGGGTGGGTGTGTGGATGGGTGGATCTGAATGCCACTCTGTGATTGGTTGGCACATCTTCAAACTGGTGCCTGCTGGGTGCTCAAAAAGGGTCAGCATCCTTGAGGACCACAGCCTCACCTCTGCCTTGTAGTAGGAGCCATGGTCCAGCAGTTTTGGGCCTTTTATCTTTTCCCACTGTTCCTTGCTGGCTTCGCTCAGGAGACCCTGAAGCCACAGGAGATGAAGGTGGGTGCCCCACATGGGAGCCAGGCTGCTTTCTGATGACCTACTCAGTTGCCAGAAGTTCAAGTAATTCTTTCCTCCCTTTGAAGGATGAGATCCCCTTTCCAGCTTTTCTGTCCCCTCCTGTTGTGGGCCGTAGAGACTGCTCTGCCTAAATCAACTGTGTCTTATGTGGATCTTCTCTGCACCTGGTGGTCCTTTTAGCTGAATATATGGACTAGCCCTTGGCAGTGGGTGATGGTTGCCTTCAGTGCGTTCTCCTTTGCCCATTCCCCAGATAGTTATTTGGTAGTCCAGAGTCTTTCCCCTTCATGATAGTCTATAACTTGGGGACAGCTCTATGGCTGGGGAAAATGAGTCATACAGTAGTAAATGGATTGAAAGGAGGGCTGATCTGGTTGTTTTCAAGCACAGTACTGAATCAGAGACCCAGAGAAAGTGGAGACGAACAGTTATTGGAATATGCTCCAAGAGTTTCAGAGACAGGAGTGGCTTCAGTTCTTAGAATTTCAAGATATTGCATGAAGAATCATTAAGTGCTGGGAAAAAGTAGAGATGTTGGAAACTGTCGGATCATACAGTTACTTCTATCATATTCCAGGTGGATTGTGACAAAGGGGTGACCGGCACCATTTACGAATATGGAGCCCTCACTCTTAATGGTGAGGAGTATATCAAATTCCAGCAATATGCAGGCAAGCACGTCCTGTTTGTCAACGTGGCCACCTTCTGAGGCTTGACAGCTCAGTATCCTGGTAAGAACTCAGGTTTCAACGCTTTCAGAACTAGCTCTGTCAGGTAGTCAGAAGGTTCTGCTGGTGTGTTGTTGGGAATGAGAGCTAAGTGATTATGTGACTCTGCTTCTCTTAATCCTGCTACTGTTTTGCTTCTTTGAATGTCAGAAGAATTATCTTCAGATTTGGAAACTAAGGCTTCCTCAGGTTGAATTGGCTGTTCTGTACCCCACAGGAAGAACATATACTGTAAAGAACCAAGTGTTAGAAAAAATGTATTATAGAATCTGAGCTTGCAGTGGATGATTTGGGGATGGGTTCAAGGAACTAAAGCTTTGATCTGGATTAGATACTGCCAGGAAATGAAGAAATGGGGATGGTTATGTGATTGAGTTTGTTAATAAATTATACCTTCATGGAGAGAGAAAAAGAAGAAAGCTGTAACTGGTTAAAAAACAAAAGCAAGCTGGGCACCCATGGCTCACACCTGTAATCCTAGCTACTCAGGGGGCTGAGATCTGAGGATTGTGGTTCAAAGCCAGCCTGGGCAGCAAAAGCCGTGAAACTCTCATCTTCAATTAACCACCAGAAAACCAGAAGTGGTGGCTCACTCACCTTGAGCTGAAGAACTGAGGCTCAGAGTTCAAGCCCCATGACCGACCCCCCCCAAAAAAAAAACCAATAGAAAAAACCAAAACAATGGCAAAATCACTCAGATGGACAAGAATATAGCAATGCAAGATGGTTTTTGTGATTTGTGCAACATTCATATTCTTCCATATGTTCAGATATGATGGTGGAGTGATCCTGTTTTTGTCTCAACGAATCACTCTTATGGTTTCAATGTGAAATGTCTCCTACGGGCTCATGTATTGAAGACTTGATCCCCAGCTTCTTAGTTCTAGAAACTTTAGAAGTTGTAGTCAGAAGAATCAAGTCAGGGGAGCTGGGAAGATGGCTCAGTGGTAGAGCGCTTGCCTTGCATGCCTTGCATGCCTTGCATGCCTGAGGCCCTGGGTTAGATTCCTCACCACCACATAAGCAAAAATGAAAAAAGCCGGAAGTGATGCTGTGGCTCAAGTGGTAGAACGCTAGCCTTGAGCTGAAGAGGGACAGCACCCAGGCCCAGAGTTCAAGGGACCAGGCCGAGTTCAGGCCCCATGACCCGACCCAAAAAAAAAAAAAAAAGAATCAAGTCAGTGGAAATGGGCCTTTATAGTTTACACCTGGTTTTCAGAGACTTTCTCATTTCCTGCTTTCCTTTGGCCATGAGGTTGAAAACCTCTTCCTCCCCCTCGTGCCTCCTCGAGGATTTTCTAGGTGCAGGGGCCAAACAGCCCTGAATGGACTCTGAAACTATGAGCAAAATAATTGTATAAGGTTTTGAGTGTTATTCTATACTGGTGTATGATAGGATAGTTCTCCCATTCATTATTAAGGAATAGTTACGCACTTAAAGATCATGAGACTTTTAAAGAGCATCTCATTCAACTTTTACTCCCGATGAGGAGATGGAGAGTGAAGGAGTTTGCCAAAGAACTAGACTCATGCATGTTAGTCAAGCATTTTACCACTAAGCCACATTCTCAGCCCATAGTAATATACTTTAATAATAAAAGTTTTTTCTATCTATTCTAAAGAAATATATAGACACAGGAAGGTCCTGGGTGCCGGTGGCTCATGACTGTAATCCTAGCTACTCAGGGTGCTGAGATGTGAGGATATGTGTTCAAAGCCAGACAGGGCAGAAGAGCCCTTAAGACGCTTACCTCCAATTAACCACCAACAAAAGCCAGAAGTAGAGCTGTGGCTCAAATGGTAGAATGCTAATCTTGAGCAAAAATAAAGCTCAGGGACAGTGCCCAGGCCGTGAGTTGAAGCCCCAAGATGGGCTCAAAACAAAACAACAACAGCAATAATAACAATACAACCATAGGAAGGGATGCTCCATTTGGTTCCTAGGCAAGAACCTCAGGCAGAGCTGATTTAGATTGACAATAGTTGGGGCTGATTCTGAAAAACAAGTAACTGAGCTGAAAATAGCTGCCAATGAAAATACTGGTACAAGTCCAGCAGACAAGTCAGAGGCTTCCTGACAGTAGTAAAAACCTGTGTAGTAAAAAACCTAGTTCTAAGCAAATGGCATTAGTTAGTTTCTCTGAAATTGATGAGAGGGTGGAGAATGCTCAGGAGCCTGGCTTGGAGTTTCTCTGTTTCCTTCTACCACTGCTAGGGTTCACCTGGAAATGTAACAAGTGTCAGGTGGGGTCATGAGACAGGGAAAGGGGATAGGGAGTTATGTCTATTTTGTTTGCTTGTCCTTAGAAAAACATCTGAGCCATTAACCCACAGAGTAATGATGAGAGCAGCATTTATAGCTAGCTTTTCTTCAGAATCAAATCTAATTCTCCACAAAAAGTCTAATCAATCTGTTTGAGATAAGGCCGCCCATTGGAAGGTAAAACACATCCACTTATGGGAACCACTGCCCAACAAACCTAGCAGTCATTTGGATGAATGTCTGGAAACCTGTTACAGTTTTTGTTCTACTCGCTTGAACCTTCCCTTTCATAGTCTTCAGTTTATTCATATGATCAATGGAAAAGGCCGGTGGTCTTTCACTATCCAAGGCAGGCTTTCTGACCCTGCTGACTGAGCTATTCATTTTCTCCCTACAGAACTGAATGCACTACAGGAGGAACTGAAGCAATCCAATGTCATCGTGTTGGGCTTTCCCTGCAACCAGTTTGGAAAACAAGAACCAGGAAAGAACTCAGAGATCCTCTCTGGGCTCAAGTGAGTGTCTGAAAAGGACATTACAGAGGCTGACATGGTCCTTTTTATTCCTTCTGCTTAGATGTCCTCCCATTCTACAAACTTCTAGGTTGTATGAGAGAGATCAATGGATTCAAAAATACCACCACGATCCTTTGCATTTAATTTAGTCCTATTGGTAGCGTTCAAGTAGTCTCTCTACCTTTAAGAGTATGGAAAGGTCTAATGAGAAAAAAATGTCCACAGGAGAGGAGAGAATATAGAGAAAATGGAAATGAAGCCTACTCCTTGAAGTCTTGGTTCCCAACGATGTCTCTTTCCTCACCTTCCCTGTTTGCAGCTCTTCCTCTTTATCTTTGATTTCCCTTTGTGTGGAATTGTTGTTGGTCGTTACTATTTCCTTTTTATTAATTTATATCCTTTTGGGAACATTCTGGTTCATTGCAGGTATGTGCGTCCAGGTGGTGGCTTTGTCCCTAATTTCCAGCTCTTTGAGAAAGGAGATGTTAATGGAGAAAATGAACAAAAGGTCTATACCTTCTTGAAGGTGAGTGAACATAAACCTTCTAGAGATTGTTTAGGTAGAGATGCTCTAAAAGCAATGGAGCTGGTATCTAGGATTGGGGTGAGATTCCCTAGAAAGAGAAGCTCAGATAAGTTCAAGGATCATGACAATGTTTATTATTTGGTTTTAAGTATTAAAAAAAAACCAAACCAAAAAACACATATAATAGTTTGACATGGACTATCTCCTTCTACTGAGTGATAATCATTCATTCACTCAATAATCATTTATCAGGCCCTTGTTTGTATAAGGAGCTGTGTGATATGAATGAACAAATATTATAGGATAGTATCTCTTCCCTGAAGGAGTTAATAGTAAACCAGTACACAAAGATACACATGGGTAAGGAAGAGTGTCCAGATGAGAGCCACAGTATGTTAGAATCACAAAATCAAAGATAAAAGGACCTCCAAGGGTATTTTAGGTCACCTGTCTTTAAACACTGGCCTGTAGGACAAGGCTAGACTTTGTTGATATTTTCACCCATCTTCAGAAAGCAGGAAAATTAAGAGACAATGTGAAGAGTTTCTTAAAAACCTCAGCTTTTTCAATAAAATATAAAAGACCACATTTATTCTGATAATTAGTTATGCCAAATATACTGATTTTTTTTCTTGATCAAAAATAGCAACATAAGGGCTGGGAAGGTGGCTCAGTGGTAGAGTGCTTGCCTTGCATGCCTGAGGCCCTGGGTTCGATTCCTCAGCACCACATAAGCAAAAAGAAAAAAGCTGGAAGTGGCACCGTGGCTCAAGTGGTAGAGCACTAGCCTTGAGCTGAAGAGCTGAGGGACAGCGCCCAGGCCCAGAGTTCAGGCCCCACAACCGGACCCCCCAAAAAAATAGCAACATAAATTTGAAGTAATTAAGACTAATATTTTAAAATTCTTTAATTTGTGAATTTATAAAAATAGTAGATTTTGAATTTTCTTTTTTCTCTTAGCAGTAAGTAATGGGGTTTGAACTCGGGGCTTTATATTTGCTACCCAGGTGCTCCACCACTTGAGCCAGGTCTTCCACTTTGAACTTTTCTTATTGTCAAAATGAATGTTGATTAACCTAAATTAATTTCCAATACATAGCCATTAAATCTTACTGGCCCATGCAACTCCCAAGCTCTAGGAACCTATTCGTTTTCATCCAAAATACCTGAAATTTCAGAAATGATATGATTTGGCCAAGGAAATCAAAGCTATTTTTTCTTTCTGATACACCATGAACAAATCATGAGAGAGGAGGTAGACAGGGAAAGAGCGAAACCAGGTGCTGGTGAATCACGCCTGTAATCCTAGCTACTCAGGAGGTTGAGATCTGAGGATCACAGTTAGAAGCCAGCTTAGGCAGGATAATCTGTGAGACTCTTAACTGAACTACAAAAAAACCAAGAAATCACTAAAAACAAAAATGAGTGGTGGCTCAAGTGGTGGAACATTAGGCTTAAACACAAAAGCTCTGGGACAATGTCCAGGCTATGGAACTAGCAAAAAAAGAAAGAAAAAAAGAAAGAAAGAAAAAAGAAAGAGGGAATCCTTTCTGTTTACAATGACGGTTTCTAATGCCTACTGAGACTGGCATTTGGTATACTGGTGCTGACAAACTGAAATGTCAAATCATTAAAATATTAAAGTGTATAATGGTGAGTAGAGGTGGGAAGATTGAACCACCCAGACACACAAATAATTATCTTTTCACAATTTGGGTCTCTGCCTCAGAATTCCTGCCCTCCAACTTCTGAACTTTTGGGTTCATCGAAACAACTCTTTTGGGAACCTATGAAGATCCATGACATCCGCTGGAACTTTGAGAAGTTTCTGGTAGGGCCTGATGGAGTCCCCGTCATGCGCTGGTTCCACAAGATTCCAGTGAGCACAGTCAAGTCAGATATCATTCAGTACCTAAATATGTCTGATACCCAGTAAGAAGCACCAGCCTCTGGCAGAAGCAGCTGCCCTGCTTTCCACCTGAAGGACATGGGAAACAGAGTGTATCTTTACTCCACATTCTTTCCTACCTAAGCAAAGCTTCCATATTTCCAAACCATTCTCTGCTGTCTACGTAGCCGCACACATTTTGTGTGTGTACAGCTGTTTATGGAGGTATGCAGCCAGGTGTATGTGAATAGACTTATAGAAATGGGCTGGGTGATGTATATGCATACTTGTGTGCCTATCTAGTCAAATGTTTGATTTTGAAATATCAGGTTTTCCCAAGCTATACTTGCAAACATCTTATGTCTGTAAGAAAATAATCCCTGTAGATTGTTACATCTATTCTTCTCTGTCCTGATGGTTTAAAGAAAGCAGGAACTGGCAGTAAGACTCTCTAAGTCTCTTCAGCATACTCTGTCCTCCAAGCTGAACATGCATTATAAAGCTTTCCCTCACACAAATCGATTCTCCCTTCTTCCCTGTTACCTATAGTTCTTAGAGGATTCTGAAGCAGAGTGAGAGCAGAAAGCCTATCATTTGAAGAGCGGGGCATCTCTATGATGGTAGGTCTCAAATCCCCTATGGGTCAGACTCTACCAGAAATCTTCCTTGGTGCCTGTCCCTTTAGTGCATTCAGGTCAGGCACTTGGGCAAGGATATCCCTTTATTCTGAATGCTGGGCTTTCTCCTCACTCTGAGACTTTCTAAACTTTAAACTCATTCTTCTTATTGTCTCAAATAATAAAGAAAAACTGCATCAACCTGGCTCTGTGTGATATTTTCCTAGTCCCATAGTATGTCTATAGCCATACCTTCATGCCTGGGCTGGTTTTGAACCACAGTCCTCAGGTCTCAGCCTCCTGAGTAGCTAAGATTATAGGTGTGAGCACCAGTGCCCAGCTGTAGCTATATTTCTTCTTTCTCTTACCTATGTGCTTCTGACTTTCTTACGTTGCTCTTTAACATTTTTTTCCAAAAGTACTCTGGAGATTGGCCTGGCACATTTGAGAGCAACGGGGACAATTTGTAGGCATATTGCTCTTGTTAGAGACCTTTTACACTCAGGCCCTTGATACCATTCATTCAAGACTTTCAGTCAAGTCTCTACATGAGAGGCCTTTTTGCTTATGAAAAATATCTCTCTCAACAAGAAATACACATACATTTCTGTGGATAAAATTAATGTGTATCTGTGTGCTGGTGGCTCACGTCTGTATTCCTAGCTCCTCAGGAAGCTGAGATCTGATGACTATGGTTCAGAGCCAGTCCAGGCAAGAAAGTATGTGAGACTTTTATCTCCAATTAACTAAAAAAGAAGAAGAAGAAGCTGGGTAGGTAATGAGACAGATTATTCTCCTTAGGGATAGCTGGCTAATTTAGGCCCTGTTTCTGCTATGCCTTTTGTCACTGCTCTGCTGTTTTCATTTTTAAATGTGCTTTTAGATTTTAATATTGCATATTAATTTCAATTATTTTTGGTGCTGGTCCTAGGGCTTGAATTCAGGACCTGGGTGTTGTCCCTGAGCTTTTTATTTGTGCACAAGGCTATCACTTGAGCCACACCTCCACTTCTGCCCTTTTGTTGATTAATTACGCTTTTTTTTCCCTTCTAATTTATCTGCCAAGGCTGTCCTGAATGGCTAGGGCTATTGGCATGAGCCAACTATGCCAGGTTGTTTTATCTTCTTGAACTCAAAATCTGGTAAGGAAAAACTGGATTAAAGAAAAAAAAATCTGGCCGTCATTGACTATAAGCCATAGGATTTGGTTCCATTTATTGGCAGCAAGGAACTCACAGAAACATGCAGAAATGGAGTTTCAATTTTGCATTTCTCCTTAGTGTCTGAAGTTCTGAACACCCAGGGACCTTAACAATCCTCAGGGGGATTCCAGATCTCTCACAATTTTCAGGTCAGGACAAGCAAAATCCAGGAAGTAGCTTGAGGAAGCAGATGGTATGACATGGTATGTAAAGCCCTCTTCAGACCTGGTCCCTGTAAAACCTAGCATTCATAGTTGTACAAAAGTAAACAGTTCCGAGGAATAACATCTCCACAGCAACAAAGGAAGGGGATGGGGCAATCTTCAGCCTGAGGGTGTACACCCAGCAGCCTTCAGTCTCAATCTACTGCTGCTCTGAGAAAAACAGTTTCTATGCTCCTGATGCCCTCCAGTGGCTGTCCCTGAAGAGAAAAGAAATGTTCCAGGGGAAAGCCAAAGCCAGGGAAACCAGATACTTTTATTGGTGGTGGAATGTGAGTCTAGGGGAGGAGCAGGTGTGGGAGCAGCAGTCTAGATGCTGGTGATAATAGTTATGTGAAAGTCTTTATTAAGAGAAGACCAAGGGGGGAAAATGTTATTTGTCTCTTCCTCAATCAGTTCCTACAACAGATCTCAGTCCCAAAGGGAATCTATATACTGTATCTTCTGTAGACTGTCCAGAAATGTCTCAGGAGTTCACATCTAGCCTGATAGTTAGAAGTTTGATAGTACTAGCATTGTTACTACTGTTATCACCACAGGTACAATGAGGGCTTTGGAATTTTTGTCTTCCAACCAAAAGTTCCCACCATTTAGCATGCAAATCAGGTAAACTACTCCAAAAACAAACTACCAAGTCTCTGTGGCTCATAAAGTTTTTGGCAAAAGGTGTTTAGGCAGATCAGGAAGGCTTGAACAAATCTCAAGCACACACATAACCGAAAGACTGCTCTCAAAAGAAAGGAAATCCTTGAAATAGGACAGGGCAAAGGAGAGGGAAGTAAGGATGGGTTTTCTGCTGGAATGTCGCTTCAGGATAAATCACCCTATGCAATCCCTGTGGAAGGGAGAGAGAGAGCGTTGGGATAAGCCCTGACTGGCAATTATGGGCTTGGAAAACTTTCGAGGTGAAGTATCTTCTTTTGCAGTACTGATTTTAATATTCGGGGCCTGGCACTTGCTAGGCAAATGGGTTCAATCCTAGTGCAGTTATGGATACTAAATGGCCACCCGATGAAAGCAGGCTCATTAGTAGTATTGAAAGCAGGCTCATTAGTAGTAGTATTATTCCCCTAAAATTACATTAAAACGTTTTCAAAATTCTTAAAGCCAATTGCTTTTCCTTTCTATGAAATGTCTATTTGCTTCGTTTTCTAGTAAACGATGTTTCTTTTATTGAAAATATGAGCGCGCTCTCTCTCTCTGTGTCTCCATTTTAAAATCAATCATTGACAAAAAAGGTTTGAAAATCACTTTGGGACCGGTTTTGGGCCTTAAATTTTGCAGCTGCGTTTGGCGACTGGAAGTTGATTTCAGAGTGTTTCCTCCCCCTCTCCTCGCCTTCTATCTCCATCCACGAGGAAAGCAAGTCCTTGCTTGTGTCATGAAATCCTTATTTGCTAAAGACGCGCAAAGAAACATCTGTGCGGCCAGATCCACTCCCTCTCCACCGCCTTTTTAAAGTCTTTTATGAGTTCAAGACCTTCATTCTCCAAGTTCAAATCCGGGACCCATTTGCTTTTGACGCAGGCCTTGGGCAATGTCCTCTCCACTCCAACCCCACGAGCGCAATCGAGCTGGGTCCCTGGTCTCTGGGTCTCCTCCGATCCCAGCCTCCCTTCCCTTTAGGCCTCGGTGGTTCTCAGTCTCTGCCAGTGTCTGGGGCCCGGGGACCCGCCCGCGGTCCTCCGCTCCCTCCCTGGAGCCCTTCCCCGGGCCTTGTCCCAGGATCACAGCCGTATTCACATTCCTAATCCCAGGCCCCGTTCCCTGCAAATCCCCGGGACCCAGCGTGCGTGCGTGCATGCGTGCGTGTGTTCGTGGTAGTGCAAGGACCAGGTAAGAGAGGAGAACGCGTTATCTCGTCTACGAGAAGATTGTTTTCAAAACATCTTGAGTGGAGAGTGGAATAAAAAGGCCCGGGAGGAAGAGAAGAGGACCAAGGGAGAAACTGAGTCACACACCCCAGCCTTTTCGGGGTCAGAGGCTTCCAGCATCCCGCCGACCCCTCCAGGCCAAAGCTGCAAAGCATCCTGCCGCCGGCCACGCGCACGCCTCTGCACCTTTCTCCCAATGGGCTCTGAGGGATCAGATGTCATTTGGAGGTTCCAAAAGGACCTAAGCCAGCAGCCACCTGTGGCTGAAGATGGCCTTAGCACCCACCCCGTCACTGGCAAATTGGGCTGTTTCGGGTTCCCTAAGCAAGTGACCGGGTTACTTTTAGCCAGTTATTTTTTTTTTTAAATATCTTTAAGTGGTTGTGCAAAGAAGTTCCCATTCTACAAAACAGTATATGAATACAAAGTGTCCGATAATATTGCCACTCAGTCTCAGTCAGTTATTTTATGTTAACGCCTGGAAGATCCAAAGGTGGACTACATACATACACTGACTAAATATTCAGACATCTCATCTATTCGCCTGCCTTGTATTGTATGGTTTTTGTTTTGTTTTAAATCACGAATCGGGTAACCTCACATTTCTGAAGTACCTTTTTGTCCTTGCAATGATAGAAAAAAAAATCTGTTGTTTGACTCTGTTAACTGCCTTCGTGTTTTCTTTCCCTCGTGTATTTTTCCCCTTATGTATTTTTATATCTGTAGCACATGCAGAGGAGTGAAACAGCTGGAGTTGGTGTGATTTTGGAACACAACCGAGTATCACCAGATAGTGTGAACTCAATTTTTTCACCCAAATTGAAACAAAATAAGATAGATTTGGCTCTTTTTTTTCTCCCCCTTGCTGTGGCCCTATGGCTCAGTTGGTTAAAGCGCCTGTCTCGTAAACAGGAGATCCTGGGTTCGACTCCCAGTAGGGCCTTCCCTTCCTTTTTCCTCCTCTGATTTCCCAGATTTCTCACAACACCTACAGCACAACTGTACAATTGTACAAATACAGGTTGTTTGACTGAAACCCGGTGAGTTTTCTTACTTTTGAAAAGAAGTAGATTTATTGAAAGAAAACAAATCAGATTCAAAACACTGCCAAAATAATTCATGGGTCTTACCTCA